CGCCACCGCCGCCCGCGGCGCCCATGTCGCCAGTGGTGTCGCCCGCGGGTACTAGCCCTGCGGCTCCCGTGGTGCCGCCCACGGCCGCTGAGGAAGCTCACCTCCGCGACTGTGTGCATTCATTCTCGCATACCGATTGGGCCCGAGAACAGCTGTCAGAAAGTGAGTGTGTAGCGGCTATAAATTTGTTGTCTTTGGGATCCCCGGCGGTTTTGCCGGATACATTCTGGGATTGCTTGCCCTGTGCGCGACGGCCGGCGTTGTCTGATGTTGTCGCCCTCGCATCTAAAACATGCCTGCACTTTACAGACGATGGTACGCGATTGTTGGTGCGAAATTCTGCCCCACTGCCTCTCGGTAGTTCGGGCGGGCGTATCACTCGCCTCCCGCCGTCGAAGACTCCGCGCATATACGTGGCTATGCTATTGTGACCTTGGGTCCTACAAGCATGTCACGCCACCGCGTCTTTTCACCTGGGCACCGCTCGGACTTTACGTATGTTGGAGCGATTTTTCTGGTGGATTGGGATGGATTTGTCCGTTCGTTGGTGGCTTCGGCATTGTTTAATTTGCCAAGCGCGCAAGACTTCCCGGCAAACATATCGCTGGCCTGCGCTCACTCTGCCCCTCCCGAATGGGCCGGGTATTGTAGTGAGCGTCGATTGTTTTGGGCCATTGCCGGTCACGTCCCGTGGGAATGTATATATACTTTTGTTTACGGAACGTTTCAGTCGACGGGCGGATATGTATGCCACTACCAAGGCGGAATTTACCGCTAAGGGAACGGCTAACATTTTCGTCAACCGCTACATGGCGTTGTGGGGTTGTCCGGTGACTCTTCTTTTGGATAACGGTATGCAATTTTGTTCAAAGTTGTCCATGGCTATTTACGAGCTGATGAAGATCAAGAAAGTCACCACCAGTTCCTACCACCCCCAAACTAACGGTGGGGCCGAGCGTGTTAACCACACCATGGCTCAAATGCTTGCTGTTGTGGTAAATGAGCGTCAGGACGATTGGGACGTCCATCTTCCCCATGTCGAGTTTGCATACAACAACTCGGTAAACACCGCCACAGGTTTGGCGCCAAATGAAGTGCATATTGGACGGTTGCCCCGTCTCCCGCTTTCTGTTTTGGACCACCCTAGCGTGGGTGGCCATCAAAGTTTGGATCGAGACCAGCCCGCTTTCTGCAACCTTGCGGTGGAACGCCAGAGACGAGCTTCCGCGTTGGTGCGGGAACAACATGCGATTACGGTGTCGCGTGTCGAACGTCGGAACTCTGCGCTGTTGGACGGTCTGCGTCAGATCCCGAAGTACGAAGTTGGTGGTTGGGCTTGGGTCTACAACTCCGCCGCTACTATTCGGCAGGGTGTGCGGAAACACACCGATGATTTGGTGCTCAAAGCGAAGCTTTCGCTCAACTGCACCGGACCGTATAAAATCCTGGCTGTTGGCCCGGCCAAAGCGGAGGATTCACCGGATGGAAAACCTGTGGAGCGCAAACTTCTCTACCTGGACCTGCCGTCAGACATGCTGGGACCAGAATCCCGCAACCGTGTCTCAGTCTTGCGGTGTAAACCGTGTACCAACCCATACGACACGGATGACCTGCCTAAGTATATGCCAGCCAATCTGTCGAAATATGTTTTGCACTCGTATAGTAACAAGTCTCCCCGTATAATTTGACTGCTGATGATATTTTAGCGGAGTCTAGTCGTCTGGATGTTGAGAATATTTCAGGACACCAAATTGTACGTGGACGCGGTGGTGTGGTAGCTGTCTTGTACCTGACTCATTGGATTGGTTTGTTGACACCGTCGTGGGAAAGGGAGTCGGATTTGCAGGAATACAGAAAACACATTCTGCTTTACTGGTCTGGTAACGCTAGTCAGCACGTACAAGGAAACCGAGCTTATCGTAATGCTCGGATAGCTTCGGCCGACCGAGAACTTGCTCGGAATCAGGCCGAACGTTTCATTGCTCCTGGGTACGAGTTGGTTTCGCGTGACACTTGGTTGGCTCGCTTCTCTTTTTCTGTTTTGTCTGTCGGAGCCCACATTTGGTACAAAGCTTTGGATGGACTTTGGTGGCTTGGGCAGATTAGTAGTTTCGTAACAGGCCAGTACATTGTTCGATTTTTGGACACCCCCGGCCCTCGAAAGCTTTCTCTCCCAGAGTATAGTTACTGCACGGTTTTGGATGCTCCTTGTGGTTCTTGGTGCTTGCAAAAACACCGTATTCGTGGTTTGACCAACCCTTCCACGGATGATGGCGTTACGTCGCGAACACCAGGCGTTGTGGCACAGCTGGCTGTTCCCCCATCTGGATCTGTGCTTTCATATAATGCCGCCTACGGGCCGCTACATGTTTTTTATGTTTTGTTCTGCATCGTACGCAGTGGTACGCTAGCGCGGTTTTGGATGGTGTGAGCTTCTTCTATTGTTGCAATAGTCACCCCGACCTTTGCGTGCCCAACGCGACAAACCCCATTTTGATTCAGACTGGTTCCGTCGTTGGCGATGTGATTCTCAGTAGTCATCACTGTGTGGTGTGGGGATGGTTTTGAGTATTTGTCGGGGATGAACTATTTTCTCTGACCCTACAGTAGTTGCTTTCATTTTATCTTATTTTTGTCTGATTAGGAAAGTCGCATCTTCGATCTTTATTTGAGGTTGAGTATTGGATCGAAGATAAAGTATCTGCATCTACGACTTCCCAGGGTGGGCTAAGGTAATGGAGCAACTAGTGTATTTGCATTGTACGAGCGTTTCATGAACGTTGTATGAGCGCTTATTGGATATTTTGAATTTTCTTTGGACATGGATATTTGGCGACGTTGAGGGGTATTGAAGTAGCTTGAAGGAAGATCAAAATCCCAGCCCCGCTCCCTCACTCTCCGAGTGGGCGCTGAGCGGACCTGGTCTAAGAAGGCTAAAACAATAGATCAAACAAAAACTGTGAGTACCCGAAGCCAGGAGCAACGAACTTGCTCCCTTCCCTCTTTTATTTCTCTCTTCCTCCATAACATGTGGGTATATTTATGTTCCTAATGTTCACAGTAACCGGCCATGTACGAAAAAACGTATACGAGAAATTATGGAAAGTGTGAAGTGTCTGTTTGTGTGCGCGTGGTGTGGTGCGGCGGAATCTAGGTGGTGCGGCGGGTTTACAGCGGAATATATACTAAGGAAAAATAAATACACACACTGAAAGACAACCCATTCGAGATATACCCACAGTCGAACGGGATGTGGTTGAGTCTTTTCAGTGAGTGGAGGAAAACCGGCTGGGTACTGGACTTATTTCGAGTATTTTAAAGTCTATACACTGATATATTCCGTTTGTAGAATAATGTGCCGGCTCGCGTACTCCTTTGGTGCTGCACACACAAGCCCATCTCCACAAGCAACAGTGCGCGTTGGGGTGCCCCTGTCCCCAACTTCTCTATATTAGGATCCCCCGATGCGTCCCCAGTGTTGCATGCTCTGCCGAAAACACGCGGAGCGTTGGGGCTGAAAACTCTTTATTATTGATCCCTCATCGCTCTGCCAGCAGCCGATATAGGTGGGGGGAGGGCGCGCCGCCAGCTCCGCCTCCTGTAGTATGTCACCAAATCTGCCCAGGGAAAACATATTGATCACCCCCGACTGGGAATCCAGGATGATCGATATTGATCATTTCAAAAAGACAAATAGTCTTTGTTCTTCGGACACGGAAGACTTGAGTAGCACTTTGTATCACGACCTATTATGTAATGTCGAGATGAGGAAAAAAGAGTCCCTACAAGAACGCCCAGATGATGCCGAAATCATCGAACAACAAGTCTATAGGCGCGATAAGTTGAAGCTTTCCGATGCTTTACGACAAGCGACACGGGGTGAATACAAAGACTATCTGTCATTTCCTAATTAGACACAGAACAAAATAAATCCCAATTACTATACTATCACATATACTCCTACAATGTAAAGCCTACCTAATAAGAGACTCAACAAACCAAGCAACAACTTCCATTATCGCCCCCCTGATAGAATTCAAAAACCCCAAATGATTCAATGTAACCAAGGACCGGGATGATCAAAAACATGACCCCTATCACACCATAGGTATCAACATAAACCAGACCCGAAGTAGACATTTCGAAAAAAAAGAACATCCTCGTCAATCTTTTCATCCTGTGTTCAGGATCAAGTCCTTCATTGCGTAAAAGCCACGAATACATACCTCCCACTACAGCATACATAAAAAATACTGCAATGAACAGTATTGTTTTTATGACATGATCGTCTTCTTTTTCGCATATACATATACTGTTAAAAAACAAAAGCAGAAAAGAGAGTAGCGATCCAACATAGTAGAAAAAATCTAGAAAATACACAAAGTCTATTTTACTCCATTTAAAAGGATTACAAGTGTCCCACATTAGGTAATGTCCATATAACCCGTTAACCTTGGCGTTTATACCTGAGGCATTTACCCAGAGGCCTGTTTTGAAAAACAAAAACAATACCCATGGATACTGATAGAACGCAAAGAAAAAGTAAATAGAAGTATTGTTGTCGCTATCAACGACACAATATCCTTCTTCCAGAGAATCATCTTCATATCCACACGTATATGTTTTCGTGTCGTCTGTGAGGATGGGAATAACAGCCATCATTATACTCACAATGACCGATATCAACAAGAAAAGCGATGTTTTTCTTCCTGTGATAACTACACTATTGTTGTTACCATTAGCGGGAATGATTTCATATTCTCCGGATGGAGATATCTTGTCTGACATGTTCTTGACATACTTCTTCAAGGTATAGAAGAATCCTTGAGGAACAGGAACGGTCGTGGGAGCTATAGAAGGAGGTGCACCAGTACCAGAAGGAGACGGAGCAATAGTAGCCGGTCTTGGTGGAAGCGGGGGGGGAGCCCCTCCAGGTCCTGATGAGTGCGGCGTAATAGTGGATGGCCTTTGTGGAAGGTGGGGAGGGACTGGTAGCTTCTTCACCTCCCTCTTCCCGGGACCACGCCCACTTTCATTGTTGAGGGCGCCGCCCCTGATGGGCCAGAGGACGCGGCCGCATCTACGTCCACGCTGCCTGTACCCGCGGCGCAGCTTGCCCCTCCCTTTCCGTCCTCGTCCATGCCCACGCCCCGCGCCACGCCTAGCGCGCCAACCCCGACCGCGCCAGCCTCGGCGGCAGCGGCGGCGGAGTCTACCGCGGCGCTCCTTGTGCCGACTGAGCCGACGGGACTTCTTGCGGCGACGCCGGGCTGAAGCAGATGAGCAACCCTCCACGGCCTCCTCTTCGACGCCCTCTTCCTTGTGTACCGCTCCCGCTGCGGTCTCCTCCTCGGGCTCTTCAGCGGGCTCACCAGAGGGCTCCTCGACGACATCCTCCACGGGCTCCCCCTCGGCACCCCCTGCTGCTTTCGTTGCAAACGCCTTCTTCCTGGCCTGCGTATACGTTACGGGGCCGCGCAATGTAAGAACGCAAAACCCAATCTCGAACCACGGTGGAACTCGGGGTACATACATTTTGTGTCTACCCCACGAAGAAATTATTACGTGGATTCTTACCATGGCGCGCTTCTCGTTCTTCTTCTTCTTCTCGCTGACCATGGTAGCTTTAGCTTTCCTCCTCATCTGTAAATTCAAGTGCGAGCAAGGCCAGCAACAGAGGCACCAAGTTGACATAAGTTTTAACTTCAAACGGGAGCAGTATTTTCTACCATTCCTATGGAGTACCTAAATTGAATCTAGACGCGCCCCTCTTATCGTACGAACACGTACCTCCGCACGCCGACGGGTTCTCGTGCTGCCAACGACGGTAGCAGCCGGGCCAGCGTCAGTTTCTTCTTCATCAACGTACGCCTCCATAAAACAAAGCGTGTCCCAATCCGAGGGGCATGGTGGGGGGCACTCCGCATCTTGAGTGACAGCGACAGCGCGGTCATCGCCATCCATGTCTGCCTCGGCGGTGTCGGCACCGGCGGCCTCCGCGTATGTAGCCGTGGGAGATGGCGTGCTGGGAGTCGCGGCGGGGGGTGTCACGGGGGCTACTCCGGCGACGGCTCTTTTGCACTTCTCCACCAGAGCTGATGCATCCGTCGCTGGGGGGGCGCTCCTCGTGTCCTGGAGCGTTGGTGCACGACAGAATAAAAAATGAAAAACATGTTGACAAGTCGACAACAAAAGCTCATGAGAAAATCATTTTGCATGGATAATTGAATAAGAATGTCGTATGTATGACACTCACTCGTGGGACCACGGTCTCGTAGTGGATGCGGCCGCTCCACAGAAGGAGCACTGGTGCGCGCACGGGGCCAGTACCGTCGACTGTCTCGTACCATGAACCACCGCGGTTCGAGATCTTGCGCACTACCTGGACTTCGATGCCAATGATCTTCGCCAGAAGCAACACTGCTCGTTCGTCGTACCACCCGCGCATCGGGTCTCCCTCTCCATCGACGTTCAGGATAGCCTCCCTGAATGCGGCAGGGGTCGTGAGATCGGCGCGGCGGGACGCTCGTGACGCCGACCCCCCCTCCACGGTCGTCCCCACGACCCAGCTGGGGGCCGAATCGTCGATGTTCCGCGCTGTCGCTTGGCGGCAAAGTCGGACCAGCTGGCGTATATGCTCGCGTAGAGCCGGAGTCGGCTGCCCCGTGAAGACACGCTCGGTGTCCTGGTGGTGCTCCCCGTTCAAGAACAGGTACCCCTGCAGTAGGGCGTAGATGGCGCACGAGCCATCGGCGAAGTTACGAAGAACCCTCCAGTACCTCGTCGATACAGTCCCAGATTTGACCATGTTTCACCTTTGATTACCAAAGGGGTCGGGGACGTGAAAGACATAACACGGGAGGCGTGTCAATGGTTAGGTTGCGTTAGCGGGTGCGAGGGGTGCCTTGAAACAGAAACGTGAGACGGAATCTGAGACACGAGTGCGTGTGAGACAGGGAAGGCACTATAGGAATCTGAGACAGGAACCTAAGACAGGGGTGTGAGTGAGACAGGGAAGGAACTATATATCTGAGGCAGGAATCTGAGACAGGAGTGCGTGTAAGACAGGAATCTGAGACAGGAATCTGAGACAGGAATCTAAGACAGGGGTGTGAGTGAGACAGGGAAGGCGCCATAGATCTGAGGCAGGAATCTGAGACAGGAATCTGAGACCTGAGACGGGAATCCGAGACGGGGGTGTGATTGAGACAGGGAAGGCGCCATGTGATGAGGGGGTGTCTGGGAGTATGATGGTTAGATTGAGTAAGCGATTAAGATGGTGATTAAAACCAGGGCTCGAGTTGTAGGTTGAAACAGGGATGTAGGTGAGGGAGGTGAGGGAGACTTGGCCAGGAATCTGAGACAGGAATCTGAGACAGGAATCATGTAGAAAGTAGATCTCTAGGCTTTACATGCACGGTCATGCACGGTTTTGAAGCAAAACTTTGATGAGACAATACCGTAGATGATGGGAATGGGTTTTGGGGGGGTTTACTTGAGTTTGGTGTGGCAATCGTGCATTTGCCACAACGTTTTAGATTGGGCAAAGGCCAAAACGGCAAGTCGTCGGTGGGGCCAATTACCAAGTTTAGGCACCTTCTGTGCCCAACCACCCCGTCCTGAATACATGCTCTGAAATCGTTTTTGCCTGTTGAACATGCTCCGCCTGTGTCCTGCTGAATATGTTCTTTGCGCAGTGTCTGGCGAAGACAGTGGAGGCACAGGGCTCAAAGACTGGCAGCCAAGGACATCGCCACCGCGAGGTATGACGCTCTCTCACGTTGGGGCAGCCTGCCCCTGGCGTATCATTGTGATAAAAAACAGTGTGAGCGGGGCCATAGGCGGACAAATCGCATTACATTTCTTTTGCCGTGTGCAAAGGGTGCACTATTCGCATTGCACTGTGGATTTATATTGTTGTCCATACATCACAGCAGCCATGTGGGACTCATCGGACAGAGCGGAGCTCCTCGCAGAAATATTGAAGCAGTTGGAAGAGACGAGGGCATCAGTCGCTCGTATTGAAAATCCACAAAAGCGATGAACTGAATAAGGCCAGGGATACACTCCCCCGTGAAACGCGTCATCCCTTAGCACACCAACGGGGGAGCGCTATCGTTTCTGTGCGCTCCCGTCACGTGTACCAAAAACTGCTAGAGCTGCGTACCGCGTGCGTGACAGAAACGTGACAAAATGTGAGAGAGGGGAGAGAGCGGGACAAACAGAGACAGGGAGACAGATATGGGCGTGGAACACACACCTCCCTTCACTGACCTCGGCACGCTGTGCAGTGCTGCTGCTGCTGTCACTCCTGCGGCTGTTGTCTGCTCTCCGGGCTATGCGTTGTGGGGATAGGTTTGGATTTTTGAAAAACGCACCTTCAAAGAGGTTCCCGGGGAAATACAAGTTCCGTTTCGGCTTGTACTGCTCCAAATCGGTGCCGCGGGACAGAAAGCGGCAGAGCGCCGCCATAGAGTCGGGTTCCGAGCGCGCTGGCCACAGGGGCGTATAGAGAGGACAGAAATAGGGGTGTGCGGAGAGTTTCACGTCTTGTCCGAGCCGTCGTTGCTTCAAAGCATCCATCCTCCGGGTGCCCAAAATATCCATCCTCCACCGGCCGTTCGCTACAGGGTTCCGCCGAAAACACACCAAACGCGCGGAGACAGCACACAAATAACCATACCCGGCGGAGGGGCGGTCAGAGAAAGAAAGAAAAGGTGTGTTTTGGGGTGACTGCACGCTGCAGTGAGGTGCCATGTCCCCTGTACCAACGACACACGCTAGAGCTAGCACGCGGTGTTGCCGTGTGGTGCGGGCGGCTGCTGATGCTGCCTTTCTCCACTGCTGGCAAGCACAGGAAACATGCTTGGGCGCACACATCCATCACCCCAAACCGGCTCTACCATTCGATCACTTCGATTCCCATCGCTCTATCTGTAGGCGTTTGTGGGCGCTACCCCCCCTCCGTACAGGAAACACGAACGGCTAAAAAAGCAAGTCCTGAGAAAAGGTAATACTCTCTTATATTTTATCCCTCATCGTAGGACATTTCGTTTGGCAGGTCCCGCGAGAGCCTGCGACGGAGCAGGTAGCCGCTACCCCCTGCACAGTAAACGCAAACGGCTAGACAAAAAGCAAAGTCCTAAGAAAAGGCAATACTCTCTTGGATTTGATCCCTCATCGTAGGACATTTCGTTTGGCAGGTCCCGCGAGAGCCTGCGACGGAGCAGGTAGCCGCTACCCCCTGCACAGTAAGCACGACAACGGCTACAAAAAAGCCAAGTCCTAAGAAAAGGTAATACTTACTGCTGTACCGGTGGAGGATGGATGCTTTGAAGCAACGACGGCTCGGACAAGACGTGAAACTCTCCGCATGCCCCTATTTCTGTCCCCTCTATACGCCCCTGTGGCCAGCGCGCTCGGAACCCGACTCTATGGCGGCACTCTGCCGCTTTCTGTCTCGCGGCACCGATTTGGAGCGGTACAAGCCGAAACGGAACTTGATTTTCTCCCGCTCTCTCCCCTCTCTCACATTTTGTCACGTTTCTGTCACGCACGCGGTACGCAGCTCTAGTAGTTTTTGGTACACGTGACGGGAGCGCAAAGAAACGATAGCATTCCCCCGGGTGTGCTAAGGGATGACGCGTGTGCACGGGGGAGTGTATCCCTGGCCATATTCAGTTCATCGCTTTTGTGGGTTTTCAATACTATAGCGACTGATGCCCTCGTCTCTTCCAACTGCTTCAATGTCTCTGCGAGGAGCTCCGCTCTGTCCGATGAGTCCCACATGGCTGCTGTGATGTATAGACAACAATATAAATCCACAGTGCAATGCGAACAGTGCACCCTTTGCACACGGCAAAAGAAATGTAATGCGATTTGTCCGCCTATTGCCCCGCTCACACTGTTTTTTATCACAGTGATACGCGAAGGGCAGGCTGCCCCAACGTGAGAGAGCGTCATACCTCGCGGTGACGACGTCCTCGGCTGCCAGTCTTTGAGCCCTGTGCCTCCACAGTCTTCGCCAGACACTGCGCAAAGAACATATTCAGCGGGACACAGGCGGAGCATGTTCAACAGGCAAAAACGATTTCAGTGCATGTATTCAGGACGGGGCGGTTGGGCACAGAATGTGCCTAAACTTGGGTAAAACCTTTTTATTGACCTCCCCGCAAGCCACAGGAGGCGGAGCTGCACGCGGTACCTGCCAAACGAAATGTCCTACGATAAGGGATCAGATATAAGAGAGTATTACCTTTTCTTAGGACTTTGCTTTTTTTCTAGCCATTCGCGTTTACTGTGCAGGGGGTTGCGGCTACCTGCTCCGTCGAAGGCTCTCGCGGGACCTGCCAAACGAAATGTCCTACGATGAGGGATAAAACATAAGAGAGTATTACCTTTTCTCAGGACTTGCTTTTTTAGCCGTTCGTGTTTCCTGTACGGGGGGGGGGTAGCGCCCACAAACGCCTAAAGCAGCATCAGCAGCCGCACGCACCACACGGCAACACCGCGTGCTAGCTCTAGCGTGTGTCGTTGGTACAGGGGACATGGCACCTCACTGCAGGGTGCAGTCACCCCAAAACACACCTTTTCTTTCTTTCTCTGATCACCCCTCCCCCAGGTATGGTCGTTTTGTTTGTGTGCTGTCACATCCATCACGATAACCCGACAGCCTTTTCCGTTCCCTTCGACGTGGGTCATCCATCATTTTGTGCTGCCATCCTTACGTACGCAACATTTGTATTTATTTCCACCCGGGCGTCCCAGAGCTCTATGTGTGATCGAATGCGCCCTGTCCACTGCCCCTGCCCGCATGCTGCGGTGGCGATCAATTATGCCACGTCTGTGCGCATCGCCCCTGTCCGCCCTCCGTGTTTTTTGAACTACTCTGGCGCAGGTGACACGAGAGACACGTGCAATGCGCGATCGGCAGTTCAGAGGGGTGTTGATTTGTGCAGTGTATTTTTGTACGAAACGTCCCCCGTAGATTCGAATCGTGTGTCACATGCAGTGCTCTGTAGGCAGCTTAGAGGGGGTAGGCAATCGTGACGTGAATGAGGTTAAGAAAGTTTCACGATTACTAGCCAATCAGGATTCGTGCTGAATCGTGCTGTAGTGTTTCCAAGTCGTTTTGCCCGATTGGTGTCCAGTTCAATTCCCATGGACGGCATTCAGGCGGCTGAATACAGGAGGTAGAACTGGCGCGGACATCCAATAAACGGTGTAATAAGTTTGCAGCGGATGAATATCACCGAGGTGGCAGGAAACCCGCCACGTAATCACTGTAAGTAAGTACTGTATAGGTTCAGGCAATCCGAGTCTTTCGATGAAGCCTCGACCGAACCCGCCTCCTCTCACCTTTGGTAGTAGTCATGGGAACTGCTGTTCGCAGATAGCAGTGTACGCGTCCTCGGGGGTGTCGGAGAGGGCCTAGGAGCCGACGGTGAAACACGGTCGGATCTGTCAAAGGGCCTACCGGCCAGAATGTTACAGCGTGCGGGCCCGCAGTCAAGCAATGCTCCGACAAGAAACAAGGGCTTTCGACTAGTAAGCAATTTATGACGTATCCTTTTTTGGCAATATGCATATACCAATCAAAGGATGGACTACTGTAAGTTCCCGTTCGAGATATATCCAGTCTGAAGTTGGTATTCTCCGGAGTATTGGGTTCAACAACTGCGTTCAGTAGCCATTCGTATTGAAGCATCGTTTTGCCGACAATCCTTGTCGATTGTAGTTGGCGACCGGTACCTTTCTGAGCGGCCAAGTCTCTACGGTTGTTCCTCATCTGGCCGCCACGACACCTCTGCTCGGGTTGTTCTTTCCTTGTCATCGAGGTGCAATATGCTGACGTTACGGGCCACCCCGATGCTACACCAAACAGTCTTTCCCGAATGTCTTCCCAAATGATCGTACCACCTACGCACGAAGGGTTCGTTCAATCGAGGAAATAGAGATATCGGTGGCCTAACGTCGGCCGGTTACAGGACGACAAGGTCGCAAATCTTGGGGCCTTGCTCTGCGTACACAGTAGGGTTTCACATGCTTTTGCGGGCTTCGCCCTCGAAGCAACGCCCAATTACCGCTGTCCCGGTATATCATTCACTGCCACATCAAACGATCGTCTCCGAGGAAGAGATGGCAAGTATACGAACGCGGTGTGTTCGAGAAGGGAGGGTGATTACTTGTGTTCAGAGCCATGCGAGCTGAAGTACATGCCGTGGCCGCCATGAACCAAACTCTGCGCTGGCATGTATAATGGTGTACCCTTGGCAACATTGTGGTGCACTCCACGTGATGAAGGCGCCCTCATCATTTTCTCGCTGCGGTTTTCGTGGCCGTGGGGTGGGCCCACCACCCACAATTAACTCCGCGAGCCCCACCCACGAATGAATATGATCCAGCGTGCTTTTCCGGGAGACAAGAAGCGAAGGGCGTGTGCGTTCCTAGATCGTAGTAGTGGGTGTGTGATGATGATGATTGGTGGTGGTATTGTATGTCGGTGTAGAGCAACTAAATTTTCGTTTCTCTGCGCGACAATGCGTCGCTTACTCACCCCAAAAGTATCCCCAGATTTTCGCCGTTGGCGATGCAAATACGCTTTGTTTGCACGGTATGGCGCAACCGACGAGACAGGCGTGGTACAGGTCCGTACGGTCGGGTAGCTTAGGAAATCCTTTCGGGTAGTGATTGATTACACCGAACAGACGTTGATACTTGATAGTTTGGGCGTCCGCGCGTCGGTCTATGCATAAGAATGATTAGTCGTCGAGCAGAAAGAATACATTCGGGTTTTTTGTTGTTGTTGTAACGGTCGAATTTCTGTAGGTCAGGCCTCATTTTCTGTCGGGAACCCTGGGGCCACGAGTGTCAAAAATATGAGCCTTCGCGCCGTAGCTACAGTCAAGTAACGTGTGAGAGCCACAGAGCGCGCGAGAAAACGGAAGGACAGCAGCAGCCGCCCAACGTAGCGGCGGCGGCGGTTTAGCAAACAAAAAAGGACAGGACACACGGCCGTTAGGCCTTGGAGGAAACCAGCGCGTCAGGCGTTCCTGACCTCCCAGAAAGGTGTGTGTTTTGCCACAGAATACGAACGAACGAGGCACTTGTTGTACATATTTTTCTTACCACTTGTTTTACATATTTTCTTTACGAAGAACAAACAAATAAATCCGCCTCCTCCACAACGAGTCCAGTTGCAGATGTACAATTAACTTCAATCTTTGTTTATGACGATTTTTTTGTGGCCAAGGGCGTATTTTGCGACACGAATGAATACACTTGTGTGTGCTGGCAGTTGACAAGACAACCATTGATAGGTCTTGCACGATGTCCGACGCAGCTGGTTGCGCTCTGTACACAGAACTACCGAACCGAGACATATCCGGGGCACTTCGCGTTTTGGCCTAGGGGCAGAGGACAGGGGGCTTCCGGAACATCATTCCAGATCGAGGGGCTTTTCATCGTTGCGTGCAACAGCTCCGATGGCACGCCAAAATTTGAAGTTGGGATATTTATCAAGGCATGCGCCGGATTCACTACAGCGCATGTCTGGCATTCACTCGCACCTTCCAATGAAGGACAGTAGCAACGGCGGGCATACATAGTCCACGATGAGTGAACCTTTGGAACAAGAAGCTCGATAGGCGTCCGCACGGTTTCTTGTAGTGGGTAGACAGAAAACCCGACCAGTACGAATAATAGCCGCTTACTCCCGGCGGTCCAGTTCACAATAATGGTCGTTGTGCTTTCACTCAACGCCGACATACATGTGGCGATTCTCCAGTCGAAGGAACACTCATTTCCAGTTCTACAAGGTAACAAGAGTTTGAGAATAATAATCGCATTGCCAGAAAACGAATCGCTTCATTGAGTTTGGTCTTGCCTTGGCAAAAGACCTCCAGCCCGTTGTACTTACCGCAAATCAGTGTGAATTCCCAGAAACGACGATACATGAACGAACCCGGCATTTAACATACAAGCGTGAGGCGGAAGAGCGACCGACGTTAAGCCGAACAAGAGTGAATATTCCCAAACATTGATACGTGAACCCGGTCTTCATGACAAATAGTCCTGAGGCAGAACATCTCCGGGCAGTTACAATGTGAGTGAATGTTCCAAAATAATGATAATCGGACCCGACATAAAAAGAAATATCGCGAGGCCGAAGGGCGCGCAGTTACCTAAAACGAGAGTGAATCTTCCCGATCAATGATACGCGAACCCGGCATCCATGACAAATAGTCGTGAGGCCGAAGGCTGCACCTACCGAGATAAGTATAATGAGTGTTAATCCTCCCAAATAATGATAGGTGAACCCGGCATTCATGACAAATGTTCCTGAGGCGGACGGGCACATCACCGGAGTAAAGTCAAATATGAGTAAATCCTCCCGAACAATGACAATCCGACCCGACAAAAAAACTAAAAGTAACACGATGCGGGATCTCGCACCTCCGGAGTTTAACCTCAATCCCGTTCCATCTCGCGATTACAAACAGTACTGTGCCCAAGGGCCAGTGTCCCGTTACATGACCAAGGCGATCAACAACCACGGACAGGTTCGAGTAAAAAGGCTTCACACGCGGGAGAAACTCCCTGAGCTTGAGCGGAAGTATAAAATGAAACAAATTCTTGAACACCAAAGAAACAAATGCTGTTCCAAGAGGGGAACGAATGAATGAAAAACAAACAGCATAAGGGCAACACCACCAAGGGCAAACAACGTCGACGGCGCAGTCTCCGAAACGGGATACACAAGACACGACCCAAACCTTGTACCCAACAACATGGAGGATTCAACATTCGAAAATATCTGTCAAGAGATAAAACAGGTCCGGTACGCACATAGAACGGAGACACCCCAAACGTTCACGACGGGGCTCACCACACACCACTCTGAACCGAAAACAGGCCAAGCTTCCACCACCACAAACGCACGAAAACGAGGGCAGCCCAACAACAGGACGAGTCACACCCCGTCTAGGGTAGGCGGGTTGGTGCACCTGCTGTACATGTAGTCTAGGCGTCATCCTCCTCCCTGTCGACGTCCCCCTCGTCGCCGTCATCGTCGGCCTTCTTCCCCTCCACCGCCTCGCCCGCGCCAGCCGTGTCCGTGTCGTTCTCACCGGCTTCCATGCCCGCCATGTTGCCGTCGCTTGTGGTATCACTGCTATCGCTATCACTGTCGCTGCTGCTGCTGCTGATGCTGCGCCAGCGCCGTTAGATGGCACCACTGAGTTGTCGTCGTTCTCGAATCCCTGTTGAGCGAAAAGGGCATCAGGAATTGGCGGTCAGTACGGGTGCCAGCTCCAGGAGAGGTGGGGGGTACTCCTTGCGTGCTCGCCTTAAGAATATGGCCATTTGGCGTGGAACTTCCGGAGGACAGACGCGTTCTCAAACTCTTACTCCACCGCTTTGCCTTCGCCGGTCAGTGTGTTCGTACTTCCACATTTAATGTCGACAGCTACTGTAGCTCTGCTCCACATGGACCTTGGCGTTACGCGATATTTCTATAGTAGGACCTCTGCTTCGGTCCAATTCTGATTTCCAATGTGTATGTTCCTGTATGTAGGAGGACTATGGGTGCTTTGGCGTTTCTTCCCACAACGTTGCAAGTTTTGACGGCCGTACGGGCACGAGCACCCCTTCTCAAACCCAGGTCATCAGAAGCAGGCCAACATCCAACAACAATATCAAAAACAACAACGACCAAAGAAAAAAAAAATCGCGAAGAGCAAGCTGCGCTCATGCACGATACCTTTGGACCGACCAACTCACCGCGCCATCGCAGCTGCAGAGGGTGGGCAGCTGCTGTGCAATCATTCGCATTTCCTTGAATCGGGCGCTATTGTAGGACATACAAACACGCAGCGGGGGGTGCGTGGAGGAGACGCAAGGGGTGGGGTCTATTATAGGTATGAATCCTAGAGTCACTCATTTTGCCTAGTCAAGCGCAGCATGCATGTTGAAAACAAAGCATTCTCTGCGAAAATGACTCTCAATCAAGAATGACACAGTCTTGTCGAGGCAGCCATAGTAGATGTTGCATACCACAGAGATGTTGCAGGCAGCGGGCGGGATACCCCTGAACAATCAGCCCTTACCACGCACAGAAAATTCGGCGGTCTTGCGAAATTTCTGAAATTTAAGAAAAAGAGCGAACGGCGCCTGCTGATTGGATGGTGCAGACAGTTCCATCCCTGGGTGCAAGTGCAAAGCTGCCTTCCCACTTGAGCCGTCTCTTGTCTATAATCCCTATCAATTGTCCCCTCGATGCGAGGGGACACGAGGGGACATTTGATAGGGATTGTAGACAGCAACTGGCGGGAGCGTGGTAAACGGGGCACGGAAAGGAAGTTTTCAAGATATTTATCTAGGTTGCTTGGTGCCTCCTATCAACGGTGGTCTAGGTACTTCTTCCGCGCTTGCCCCTAGTAGCGCTTTCCACCCAAGGGTAAACAGACGCGGCGCAACTTCGCTGTTGGACCGGCGGCGTAATCGCCCCGCGATTCGACCTGTTCATTACCCTCATACTCCTCCACTCTACAAGGCATCCATACTAGACTAGAGTCGTCCCTGTGTACCCTGGCACCCCCCTGGTCGAGTAGTGCAAAGGAGGAGACAATCATGCCAATCTTCGCGAGGTAAAGCAGGTGAAGAAGATGGGGACAAAAAGTGTCCCCAAAAGGCGATCCAGCCCTAAAGGGGTTAAGGGTGGCCATACATCGGATCGAACCGGGTACGGAACGCAGCAGGCAACATCAACCAACACACACCAACAAGGAGGCAGGCAGGCAGACAGGCAGGCAGACAACCGACGAATAAAAGGCAACGAGAGCAAAGCCAACAGCAAAACCACAAAACAAACAACACATTGACGACAAGACACCGATCACCTTCGACTCCGACAAAATCTGCCATGTATTCTTATCCACCCTCGAAATCGACCACGCACAAACCCCATTGTAGACGTCATCGCTCAAGCCATCCCGGTCGACCATGCTGAATCGATACCGTGCGACGAGGTCGGAAGCTTCTTCACTCGAGACAACTACCCCCGCTTGCGAGATCATGTCCTCGTAGAGAGAGGAAAGGTCCGGAGATAGAGAGTCCAGTGACATGAGGTCCGCGGCAAATTCCTCGTAAGCCGTCATGGTCCCATTCGCCTACGTCAAGTGAGAGCCGTGCCGATGAAACAATCGAGAGACAAGGGTGGGGTGGGATTACCGAGTAGCTCTGTCGATAGCTCTTGGGGGGACGGGCTTCGGTTTTCACGGTACGCTTTCAGCACCTACTCCTGACTGACATGTGCGTCAAAGGTGCAGCCCCAGTGTGCAGGTGACGTCGAGTCTCACTCTCCCCCGCCCCCCGTTCGATCTACCAACACACCCTTCGTCATCGCTAAACTACATCTATTTGGATATCCAAAAAAGTGCTGCAGTGACCGAAAACGCTAGGAACGGGATTGATCCCCTTTCCCCCTTGCCCGGAGTACGCAAACCGGCGGTGGCGTTTACTTCTTCCGTAAAGATCGCGAAAGTACATACCACCAGCGACGGCACACACACGGACGGCGGTACCATTGATTTAAGTCACACGCTCGGGCACACGTTGGTTTAGCGGATGCTCACATCGCTGTAGCAGGCAATAAGGTCATCCTTGACCCAGTTCACCCTCTCTTCGGTCTCGGCCTCACGACCCGCCGCCTCTGCCTTCGCAGCCTCGCATCTCGATACCTCTTCCACGAGGGTAGACGAGGTCGTCAACACCAGTCGCTGCACGGCCTCCAAGTGCGATCTACAGTGCAACGCGCGGCATTAGAGCGGCCGGGGTGTGTGCGGCGGGGTGTGTGGGGGGGGGTGCCATGACTGCAACATCAAATCACGACACAGAAACCTTTGTGTTTCTGGATGAAAATCCCGTGCAGTTGCGATACGCGTCATCGAGACGGCAAGAGAACACCGCAACAACAACCACCACAACCATCACCAAGCACACGCAACGAACCTAACGGCAATCACCATAACCGCGCCAACGGAAACCTGCCACTCCTGTGCTTCCCATTTGCGATCGATGGCACGCCAACACGCACCGGACCATTGGATAGCCTGCGAGCGAGCCCCAGCGGTCTTCGCTGTCAAAAGCCGGCGTGACACGGAGCACCGCTCCCTGAGCAACGTGGGCCAGGCTGTCGATGACCAACGCCTTCTCAGACACGTTGTTGGCCAGAGCGAGGGCGACCGCGAGAGCACGGGAGTCCAGGTCCTCGATGTCGGCACCGTAGGACTCAGTGATTGCGCGAGCCTCGTCCACCTTCGTCAGTACATCGAGTGGCGACAGTCGACACGGTGCAGCGGAGGAAGGGCGGGTGAGCGAGAGATGGGGGATAAAAAGGGTTGCCGTGTGGGTGATTCTCTTCGGGCCAGGATACGATACAGACCCCAGTAACAATGCCGCCATGCATGTATCACTGTCGAGAGTCCTTGTGGTCAGTTGCTTACATTGCTCCGACACAAGGTCAGGTCGTCCTCCAGCTCGTTCCTCATGTCGTTGCCCACGTCCAGAAGGCACTGGAGCTCCATCTCACGGTGCCGAGCTTTGGACTCATCGACCTGGCACCTCTTTGTCGACGCATCGACCATCCTCGTGACGGCATCCAGGCGGGTGCTGAACACATCCGAAGCATGGAGGGAAGGGGGCGCGTGGGCTTAGCCGTTGTTGCATCCCGGCTACCGTATTTTCGATCGGGAGACAATTGTGAGACAAATTGGGATGTGACGCCGGGTAACGGGCACGTCAATACGGATGCCAACCGGGGGTGGGAGAGAAAATCCGCTTGGCTGTGATCCTACGGTGATTATCTCATGGATGAACAATCGGAGGAGTCGGGGGCGTAAACTTGGTACATAGGGGGTTCAGTGAGACCTCCTCAATATATAAAGGTATACCGTTTACCACGTTGCCGACAGTACCATGACCCTTTCGTCATCGTCCACTACAACACCAACATCAGCGGGGTCGACAATCGTCACCACCATCATCATCGATACATCAACAAACCGGCCGACCATCAAAACAACAGCATGGCAGTACAAGCACGCTGAAGAGCTACTGTAACTTACCACGTCCTCTCAGCCGCTTCGTGGGACGCCGAGCGGTCGTTAACGCCCAGCTTCGCTACGTCCACAGCGGGGCAAGTCACGGGCTCGAGGAAGTGTCCCTCGTTCGTCCTCTCGGCCGCGAAGAGCGAGACATCGACGGACGCGCTGTCGGTGTCGGATAGATCTTGCTCCCAGGACTCCAGCTCCTCCCGAACGGCCAGCGTGGATGCTCGAGACATGGCCGCTTCTTGCTGCGAAACATCGAGCTCACCCACGACCAGGCGGAGGGCGAGCTGCGATCGCTCCGACTCTCTCTGGGCCGCCAGCTGCTGCTCGGCGACGGTCTCTGTGAGGGCGGCGATGGCGCCCTCGGCGGTGTCCAGCTTTTCGACGAGGTCGCCCTCGGTCCTCGCCCACGTCTCGCGGTCGGAGGCGGCAGATTCTTCGACGTAGTCGATCGTGGCTCGGAGCGCCCCCGCCTCCTCACGCAAGTACTGCATCTGAGCACCCGCCAAGTTACGGTCCGCCTCGGACTTGGCCCGCTCCGTCCTGATCACGTCCGCTTGGGCAGAGGAAAACACATCCTTCCTGTGTACCGTCCTCTGAAGGTTCTCGAAGGTGTTCCTCAGCATGACAATTTCCGCCTTCAAGGCGTTGGAGCGCCTCTGGTCGTCACGTGGGTGGACAAGAGGCAGCGAGGGGGAGAGGACATGGGAAGATGGGGTGATGTTTGGGGGATCTGGTAGAGGAGGCACGTCGAGGAGGTACATCGAAGGATTGCCTTGGGTTCTAGGCACGAGGGAAAACGGGCTCTGGATACACAAAACCCGACAACATCGCTCCAACATTTCTACGCATTGAGTTCAACTCAATACGGCGGAATCTCGAGCTACATCGTCAACTACCCCCGGGATTTGGCGCCTTTAGAACCGCTGAGCTCACTCCCTCCCCCTACGGCACACGAACCGCTTGGCTCCAAGCAACACTGTAAACTCAAATATACACCAATCAAGGTCAACCACTCAACCACTCGAGGAGTTCTCGAGAACTGGGGGACACGTGTCTCAGGGCTTTTCTCCTTGTACTGTTGTATATCAATGCACCATTCGGCATATGACAGGCGGGATAGAACTTACCGCAGCATCCAGCGAAGTGGTCGAGACGTAGTCGACGACGACGCCGGGAAGTCTCCTATCCAATAAAATGAAAGGGGGAACGGGATGCATGCAAGAAGGCACGGACAAACGTTGTGAGACTCTGCATCTAAGAACTGATAGTGCTCCAGTTGTGCTTGTGAGAATCGCACGAAGCCTGCACAGTCGGGAATGGCCCGTGGCGCCATCTCACCTCAGAATACGGACCAAATATACCGCCTTGGAAGTATTGGCCACAATACACGGACAATCTTTCAAGGCCTTACTTGGGGGTGCTACGCGAAAAAAAAGAAAAGGCGGGAGGGAATCGCTTCGAAAATGCACCAGTCCCACAGCCCTATAACCGAGAGACCCAAGCATGCAGGGAGTATTTCAAACTGAGGTATGGTATTTATTGCCCGCTCCTTTTCGGGGCGACGGATGACTATTCGGTCTCACACCACATGCCATCAGTGATAAAAACCAACACACATGACGGAAGACGAGCACAGCATCGGCACATATCTCTCACCTAAAGAATACGAGGACTCTCTCTTGCTGGTCCTGTTTCGCTACAACCATCTCCGCCTCGTCGATGGCGACGGAGCGGAAGCCCTTCGTGGCGGCCTCCTCCACCAGCTCACGGATAGTGTCGACGCTAGCTACCAGAGGGGGAGCTCTTGATCGCCTTTGCCAGCTTGTTCATGAAGCGCTTCTCGCCCTGAACGAAAAGGAAATGCATACATACATAGTGGATCGAACGAGGGGGAGAGGGGGAGAATTTGATATTTGTCCAATGTCATACAATAGAAGAGGCAACAACGACGAATATATGGTGCGTGTGTATGCATCCATCTATCTTGTGTCGATTATCTTGGGGGGGCGGGCGGAAAAAAAGGCGAGGAAATACGCATAGACTACAGAATTTTAATTCCCTGAGAGCTTTCGTTCTTTCAGGCTTCGTTCGGAGTCTCAATCTAACTGTGGTTGATGCTTTCACTGTTGTTCTCTGGGCCTCTCGTCTGATTGCAGCAGGGCACAGACACGTGCATTTGACAATAATTATGGTGGTCTCCACAATATTCAAAAATTCAAATTTCAAATATTCTGCAAGTGCCCAAAACAACGAAACATTTCTAATTGTTCATGAAGACGTTCGACGGTACTGCCGAAAGTGGAGGGGCCAAACCCTCCTGCTGCTACTCTCCGATCCATGCTATAACAATTCGATCCCCGTGCCGATGTGCAATATATAAGTTCAAACAATATCGTTCTTGAGGATTTTCTCGCACGAAAAACATTGAATCCAGGTGTGGTGACAGCCATCTATCCGATCAGTACCCAGTACCAACGATTAGATTAAATTCTGCCGTTTTTCCAGTCATCTACATTATAGTATTTTTTGGTGAAATATTTCATGGAAGTCCATGGAAGTCCATGGACGTCCAATGTGACACAGGCCAGGGGCGCTACTCTCCTCTTTCCCGCTGGGGGATACTGCTACAGTAGGTGTTTCAGAAAGCCCGTGGGGATTTTGGTTTCGTATGTAGCTCTCAGAATTTCCGAGACTGCTGCGGCATGAAAGCTGACGACAGAGGATTGGAGGCGGATGAAACTCAGCCGCCGGTGGCGGAAAGAGCAGAATCGGCATGACGTGAGGGCAGATTCCTACCAACAAAGAAGTATCCTCTTCGCACCAACCGCCATGGTGGAGAAGCCTCGAACCTCGTTTTTAAACTTACTCGCTGCTGATTACTCTGCGTACGTCTGCCTAGATGCTCATTTCTTGCCTCGCGCGAAATCACCTGTGTGTACTTTGTTTGCTTGCCCGGGCGGGTATTATTGGGAGTCTGGTCCCGTCCCGTACAAGATCCGAAGCCGAACGTCTTCGCGTGGCGACTCGCAGTGGCACTGCTGTCACCGGTAGTTTCGATGCTCTCGAACTCAGATGCACGCTACAAGCAGGATCCCGATCGGTGTAGTGTGCTGAGTGACGGCAGGGCAAGAGTGAGCGTGTGTGGGCCCACAAAGCGCTCACGGGGGGTTTCAGAAAATGCGAAGATCGGAGAAGATCGCCCCCCCACCCTCAGCATTTGGGTCAACATCAAGGGGAGAGCAGGCGGAGAGAATGGGAGAGAGAGAGAGAGAGAGAGAGAGAGAGAGAGAGAGAGAGAGAGAGAGAGAGAGAGAGAGAGAGAAGGCACCCGACTATATTGTAGACCAAAACATGGATTGAACAGTGTAAAACAGAGTTTCCTCCGATGATCTGGTCGGTCAAGGGCTGACCCTACATGGTAACGGTGAGACGCCGAGCTATCAAAGGGCGGTCTAGAAAAATTACAACCGCAACCTACGAAGAGGACATTGAAAGGCGTCGAGTAATTCCAGAGGCAGTTGCGCGGAAACTGAGACCAGGTGTAGTGTGCAGTACAAATTTCAGGTGTACTCCGATCTGCCGTACGGAGAGCATAGTGTCGGGTAGGGCGTGCAACTCGGATGCCCTAGTCACTGTGCGCATGTTCGTTGAAACGCCAGCGGCTGCACCTCCAAGTCTACTGAGGAACCTAATTGTTTCGGCCTCTGCGTGAAATCACTGTTGTGCCCATCTAATGAGTCGCACAAGGGTTCGACTCAATGGCGCCGGGCAAGAAGGAGCACTAAGCTTGAAGCGATGCCTAGGCATGTCAAGAACACAGCGAGCTGCCCACGCCTGAGGGTCGTGCGACAAAACATAGTTACCGCAGTACACGACTTGACCTCTTTCGGAGAACGGGCACCTAGTGGACACCAGAGTCACCCAGATCACGGAACATCAACATTGACAACGGGGGTATTAATGTCGCGTAGGGCAGTCAATTCCACAATACTGGTGTGTCCTCCAATTCCTTCGCAATCGATAGCGGAGACGCCCAAAACAATTTTTTTTTACAACTTTGTCGCCAGCGAAAGCGCATGATACCTACTCGACGCATGCATGCCGGCTGTGGCCCATGCTGTCGATCTTCTTGAGAGTAGTCAAGGCCTCCCGTACCCTACTTCAAAACCCAACGACAAGCGCCATCGCCCCGTGCTTAAAGACCTCCAACAACACCGGCCTGTAGAAAAAAACAGCAAACACCACCCTCGCAAAACATTGCATCCACCAGGGTCGACCTCACCGTACCCCCACTGCTGTAGCTGGCACCGATACTTCAGCGCATGCCGTTTCCCTCAATCCCACCGTAAACCAAGCACACGGCTGTGCCCGCCACATATTTCTTGTCAGTCAAATTATCGCATGGCGTGGTGGATGCGCAGCTATTGGAACATTACACAACGGCTCCCATAATATACGTCACGGAATGGTTACGCCGGCCATTACCACCTTCTCCATCACGAAAAGGTTCGACCCCGCCGTCCATATGCGAAACACCACTCCTTTCGACACCCCGATGGATATACACCAATGAACCCTATTCACAGAAATGAAAGGCTTACACCTCCGCCTCTTCGTCACTCAGAGCCCATCAAGAATCGCCACCACCAACCGAAACCTCCAACCCGAATTCGAACCCTACTTCTTCACTCCACTCCCGTCCCCATGAACTTCTCTTCCCCCTCGCCCGCCTTTCTCCTCCTCCTCCTCCTCCTCCTCCTCCCTCGACGATGACGACAACGCATCAGACATGTCCACTGGCATCACCCCGTCCGCGCTGCCGGTCCAACTCCCCGCGTTGCTCCACGCCGCGCTTAACAGGCCGGACAGGACGTAGTGATGCCGCGGCTCGCTGGAAGCGGTGCTGAAAAAGCTCCGCTCGGTGTCACCTCCGTCAACCCCGACGACTCCCGGGGCGATGAGCCCGCTCCCGCCGGCCACACCCACCTGTGTGGAATTCGCCGGTGTGACGGCATCGGTACTGCCGTTCCACCAGGCGATGTTGAAGCTTCCTCCGGGAGGGCTCGTCATGCTGCGAGCCCGCGACGAGGCCGGTGACGGCGGTGGGGGAGAAGACCTCCCGTTCGAATTCACGACGGCTTCGGCGGCGGTACTGATATCCCCTCGCTCCTCGGTGCCCGCCTCCGAAGTCGAAAACACGGGGGCTGTCTTCGTCCGGAGATGTGAGCGGCGCGTTGGCCGTCGCCCGAATCCGGAGGAAGCCGTCGGCGGCACCGGTGCCGCTACGATCGCGGTTCTGTCGGTGTCTAGCGGCCGGAGCCGTCGTTTCTGGGCAGCTCTTGTCGCTTCCAGCTGATCGGGGCCTTTCTTGTCCAGCTGATCGGCGCCTTTCTTGTCCCCCTTCTCCGCTTTGGATGTAACCGCTAGGCGGGGACGTCCAGCCGCTGCCGCTAACCCCTCCGCCTCCGCCTCGACTGCTTGGGGTAGGGGTCTCGATCGTGAGCACGGCCGATGCTGGCCTGTCGCCATCAAGGCTGCCGTAGCGGGCGGTGCCAGCTGCTCCACAGCGAGCGTAGGATGAAACGACGCGGCGGAGGAAGTTCCGGTAATCGACGTCGTTTGCGCCGCGGGGAAACAGGAAACACCGCGGTCACAATACAAATTAGGGTGAACAACAAAACAGAACGCGGTACCGCAAGCGTCAGGCAATGCCGAATGTAGAGTAGAATAGCAACCCGCTAGGGCTATGGGTGGGGCGATACGGGAGGAAGACGACCAGCAACAAAATTGGTGTAACGCATAATAGCGAAAGACGATCATAACAACGAGGGAACACGAACATCTTGCACGACATCCAGGCAGCCGCTGGACGCTGGAGGTTATCCCCTTGTGGTCATCGATGGGTGCAAGAGTAATGCACCATAAAACCACCAACCCGTGCAAGAGTAATGCAACATCAAACCACCACCCCGCCTACGAACGCCTACAAGGTCTACCACTTCTCAGGGGCTGCGATTGGCGAGGATTGCGTATCTCTTCTCCCGAAGCATTTTCACAGGTTGCTGCTCTTGCTCACCGCCATCGTAAACACTCCCGCGGGCACTATCGACCTCCACCCAGCCCAAAAACAATACATTCGGTCTTCGGTTGTTCTGCACAACAAGGTCTCACTCTCAGTCTCCAGAAAGCTCCCGCCGCTCTCCTCGCCGCCCACTTGTGGAATACGCCTGACAGAACTCTCGCACCGCACATGAACACACGCCAGCTCGGGGCGCGCTAGCCTACACGAATTGTTGCAGTTCGCGACAGTCAAGGAAGGAATCGGGCAAGGGGTGCCGCAGATTCCGGTCAGTCGAGAAGGGGGGGGGGGGCAAAAGGATTGAGGGGGGCAAAAGAAAATCGACTCCCCTCCTGGTGCTTGTTGTTCGAAAACCTCTTGTTCCTACACCTACTTCAAGTATCGACGAATGACCAAGATAAAATCTACCTGAAAAGCACGACCGGCGGTCATCCGGGTGTTTTGAGTACTTTCAAGTGGTCTTGCATCTTTCGTGTCGAGACAATGATCTGGTCTAAAGTGGGAAGAAGATCTGGGCATTTGTTGCGGGATGATCATTTGCTCAACGGCAGAGCACAGGATACTGGGTGTCAGCACCTGACAAGTGGTGGGCCACGGGCAGCGGCGCGCACACCGCCAGAACAAAACGGACTAACGCACATCTACATACCACATCTCTCGTTCTCAAGTCTTCATTTGAACGCCCATGAAAAACGGACCAAACAGGAGGACGTACTTGGACGAATGATAATGATACGAGAACGGACCGAGAACAAACGTTTGCTTCACGCAGGCCACACACGTACCACATCTACACCCGGTCCAAGGGGGATCAATACACAGTGCGGATTAAGTAGCACTACATATCCGCTACTCTCAGCACGCAGCGAGATTCAAAACCACATCGTGTGCAAGTTTCGATTCCCTTTTACCTAAAGCGGACGAATTCCGAATCCCTCCCCGGCCTGTTGAGGGACTCCGCCAGCAGCCTCATCTCGGGGGAGGGGTCCTGACCGCTCCCGCTTCCGGCCGACAGAGCCTCCGTCAGCTAGGACGTGTTCACCAGCCGGTGCTGGAGATACCGCTGCAGCACGTTGCTCCCCAGGACGGACTTGGCGATGCCTTTCCTCTCCCCCCACCTCCGTCGTCGTCGGCGGCGGGGGTGGGTGGGTGGAGACGGAGTGACGTCAATAGTACGTGCCGGCCCCCCTCTTGGGTGACAACTGAGACGTCCAGAGGGGAGCTTGCGGCACACGCTCTCGCGAAGACGTTATAATACTTGCACGTTCAGGAGAAGGAGAAGGAAGGAGAAACGAGAAAATAGAGCTGTTGCTCTTGTCGAGAAGAGACCGTTCACGTTGTCGCTTGCTCGGGGCCAGTCGGTTGTGAGCGCATGAGCATGTGTAGAACACATTCACACACCAGAGAAAATGAGAGAGAGAGAGAGAGAGAGAGAGAGAGAGAGAGAGAGAGAGAGAGAGAGAGCGAGGGAGAGAGCGCGCGCGCGTGAGAGAGAGAGAGAGACGGCACGCTTTATCGATAATCTAAGATGCTTGCGTGAGGATTTTCTGCACTTGCTTGTACAATTATTCGTAAAGAAAGTCTGAGCTATGTAAGCGCACATCGCCGCCCAGTTGGGGAGGAAGATGGCACGGGAAAGCACGGGGCGAATTGACACCACCCCGCTCGTTGGTATTCCTCTGTCCCGCATCAAGCAACACCCCCATCGTGTCGACCAAAAGCACAACAGCTTCACCCCTTCCCTTTCTCGAAGGAAATTCTCGTTTTTAGTTTCAATTACATGGTCCAAAGGCCGGTCGCCCCGGTGGTCTACATAGGTGGTATCCTCGAAACCTTCTAGAGGTCAGGTCAGGGGTTCGAATCCCGGTGTAAGCGAGCTTTTCTTGCAAAGTGAGTTATTCTCTCGCTTCCGCTCCTGGCCTAGTGGATAGCGCTAGTTCGTGTGTACACAGAGGGAAGAGAGTGCGGAACTCTTTTCGCATTAAAATTGAAGGCAACGTACCGCAGGAGGGGAGGATATAGAGGGGTCCTTCTGTGTGACCACGGGTTGGAGTAAACGGCACCAGTGCTGTGAGCGCTGATTTGAAGAAAGACAAAAAAAAAGGGGACCGCACGTGAAGGTATTCGGTTGAGCCAACTCATGATGATCAAGAAGATTCAACCGTGCCGCCCCTCACCCATAGAGCACTCGAGAAAACAACTCTACACCACACAATCCCACCACACCAGCACCGCGTGCGGGTGACTCGCTAGTCTAGATCGAAAGAGAAAGTTCACTCCGAGTAGCCTCGACTGTGCCAACATTTCGACAGCAGTAGTATTGCCGGAAAAAAATGCGGTCGACATCAGAACTCCCTCGATTTTGGTTGCATTACTGTCTTGGGATTGTGGCGTGTACATGAGATGGGTACCTTTACTCCAACCACCTTGAAAATGTGCCAAGGAGTTCAAATCCGACCGAAACAATAAGATCGGTCTGTTGCTTTAAACTCCTATCCCATGATTTGCACGAAATCTTTCTCACTCTGCATAAAAACGTTTCGATGAAAACGACGTAGACGATTTGCGGATTTGGAAGGCTTGTTGACCATGGACGATTTGTCTCTGGCGCGTGGTGATCACTCCATGAAAAGTATGGGTGCAGCATTCTTTGGCGTCGTCGTGTTTATCACCGGTTGTTCTATTCGATGCGCTCAGGTTGGCGATAGCCTGGGCCATGTTTCACGTTCAAAGCGCTCCAGGCCCTATAAATTGCAACAATGTGAAACGCCCTCCCATTTGCGGCAGTTTCTACCCCGGTAGTCGTATCCTCAATCATTTGTTAGTGTCGAAATTCCACGTCCGCCAAACCAAGTACAACAGGGAAGAATCATATAGAAAATGAGTCCATGACAACGCGTATAATATACTCAATGCAACAAATAACACACGACAGAGAACAAAGATCAGCGTTGGCATATACACAACCCAAGGGGTAGCCTAAAACATAGCAGTACATGGACCCGGATAACCCTACTGCGAAAACCTTCAGAGGACATGATCAGACGAACCACCTGTTTTCCATTGCGGCGCAAGCGATGCAGCTCAAATCCCCCGCCCCCACCGTGTGCTTCAACTTTGGACGGATGCGGAGGGAGTGTATGCAAGTATTGGTCAAATTGTGCCACTCAAGCAGAGGGCTTCATTTGTCATGGTAATGTCGTAATCATTTTTGCTGGCGATGCCTCGCGCAGTGAACGGGCGCCTATAGCGTTTCGGCAGACAATCGATATGAGTATACGCCAATAGATAGCACTGCGAGGTAATACGCGTAGTTGGCTACAACGCGGTGGTCGTCCGTAGACTTGGTTTCAATTGTGCCGATGGTCTTCAGAAACAATTGTGACCATGTGGTTCGTCTTTCAGTGTGACGATGGTCTTCGGTTTCACTGTGGCGCCCTTAGTTTCAATTGTGACGACACTCCTTGGATTCAAATATACTGATGGTCCTCGGTTTTAATTATGTCGATGGTGCTCAGGTTCAATTGTGTTGATGGTCCTCCGCTTCAATTGTCACGATGGTCCTCAGTTTCAATCGGCGCCCTTTGGTTTGAATTGTACCGATGGTACTCGGTTTCAATTGTGAAGATGGTGCTCTGTTTCGATCTGGCGCCCTTTGTATCAACCGTGAGGATGGTCCTCAGTTTCAAATATGCCGATGGTCCTCGGTAACATTTGGGACGATTGTTCTCCGTACGTATTGTGACAATGGTCCTCGCCTTCAATGGTGATGATGGTTGTCGGTTTCAATCTGGTGCCCTTCGTTTGAATTGTAACGATGGTCCTCGGGTATAGCGGTGATGATGGCCCTCGTCTTCAAATGTGACGATGGTTCTCGCATTGAATTGTGAGGATGGTCCTCCTTTTCAATTGTGGCGATGGTTCTCATCTTCAACTGTGATGATGGTCCTCGGTTTGAATTGTGTTCATTGTCCTCGTCTTCAATTGTGACGATGTTCTTCGGATTTAATGGTGATGATGGTCCTCGGGTACAACCTGGTGCCCTTGTTTGAATTGTGACGATGGTTCTAGGTAGTAACTCCTCGTTTTCAAATGTCGCGATGGTCCCGGGTTTCTATTGTGAAGATGGTCCTCCGCGTGTGTTGTGACGATGGTTCTCGGTTTCAATCTGGTGCCCTTCGTTTCAATTGTGAAGATTGTTCTCAGGTTTAATTGTGATGATGTTCCTCGTCTTGAATTGTGACGACGGTCTTCGGTGAAAGTTGCGACGATAGTCCTCGTCTTCAATTGTTATGATGGACCTCGGTTTCAATTGTGACGATGATTCTCGGGTTGCCTTGACGGTCCTCGGTTTCGACTATGGTGATGGTCCTCGGCGTGTATTGTGACGATGGTCCTCGTCTTCGATTGTGATGATGGTTCTCGATTTCAATCTGGTGCCCTTCATTTC